AGTGAGACAAGGAGGAAGATAGAGCCACTCGGGAAGGAGTAGAAGAAGGAGAAGCACTAGGGTGAACCAGAGATGAAGGTAAACAAGAAGAAGAAGACCAGAAAAAATTTTGTAACTGAGGTAAAGAAATAGATAAAGAAGTAAAGAAAGAGGGAAGAGAAGCATAATGAAAGTTAGACTCATTAAAAATCACATGATGAGACAAATAAATTTTACCTTTAAGAGGATCAAGACAGCGATAGCCTTTGGCAAATAGATGGTAACCAAGAAACACACAAAAAATGGAATTGGGCTACAGTTTATGAGAGACATATGGTTTGAGCTAAGAGAAGCATTGGCAACCAAAAACTCTGAATTGAGAATAATTTGGTAAAGCATGAAATATCATTTCAAATGGAGACTTATTACTCAATTTAGAAGAAAGTAATTGATTAATAAGAAATGTGGCAACATCCACAGCATCAAACCATAATTTCAAAGGAATTACAACATGATGCAGGAGAGCAACAACTGTGTTAATGATGTGTCTATGTTTCCTCTCTGCCACTCCATTTTGTGGAGGAGTGTAGGGACAAGAATGTTGATGAATAATACCCTGAGTAGAAAGAAAATTCTTCATTTTATTGTTAAGATACTTAGTACCCCCATCAGTTCTCAAAATGTGTAAGGATATGTGAAATTGATTTTCTACATAGGCCTTAAACTCTACAAATTTAGAATAGACTTTACTTTTACAGGCCAATGGATATAACCATGTAAACTTAGTAAAGTCATCCACAAAAAGAACATAGTACTTGTAGCCAGAATTAGAGGTATATGGACCCCACATATCACTATGAATAAGAGAAAGTGGCTGATCAGAAGTAGAGTTTGACAATTGAAAAAGGAAGCCTGTGGCTCTTGGCAACACATCAATCAATACATGACAGTGATGTTTGCTTATTAGCAGTACAATGTAAAAGTTTATGTAAACACTGAAACTTCAAGGGAGAGGGATGGCCTAGTCTATTATTCCAAGTACTTGCACTAATAGGTGAAGATGCAATGGATGCTATGGAGTTGAGAATGAACTAAGGGCAATAGCAGATGGCAATAAATGATAAAGACCATTGATATTAGAAGCATTGTGAAGCATTTTCTTCGAAAGCTTGTCCTGGATCACAAAATTAGCATCATCAACTGTGATAAAATAGTTGTTATCCTTTGCTAATTTCTGAACAGAAACAAGATTAGAAGAAATTGAAGAAGCATGAAGAACATGATTAAGTTTGAAAGAATGATGAGGTGTAGGTAAAATGCCTTTACCAGTATGCTAAATGGGTACAAAATTACCATTACCAATGGCGATGTGATCTGTCCCTTAATAAGGCTGATAAGAAGTTAGATTGGTTATGTCATTGGTGATATGATATGTTGCTGCAGAGTCAATATACCAGGGAACTTGAGAAAAAACAACAGGAGGAAAACCAAATAGAGCAACAAAAGCTCTGGAATGTGAAGGAGCAGAGTTAGAAGAAGATTGATGTGATTGATATTGAGGATCCATCCTATACTAACACTCAAGAGCAGTCTAGCTAAATCCACCCCATATTTGACATGGTTGTAAAGTATGGGAATTTCGACCTTTGCCTCTAATAGAACCATCTGTGAATCTACCAGAACCACCACCACCTCTGTAACCATGAGATTGACCTCTATTTCCTCTATAAGAATTTCTGCCTCTGAAACCATTATGTTGTCCTCGAGACTGAAAGTTGGATGAAGGATAGGAACCTTTAACAGTTGAAAAAGCTACTATAGGTTCTTAGATATTCTTTTTAGTTTTGGACTCCATATGAATAGCTTCAGAACAAAGTAAAGAGGACAACTCATCCATGGTGATTGGTTCAAATCGAGATCGAATAGAGGTGGTAAAAGCATCAAATTCATCAGGATGACTATTCAATGTGAGTAAAACAAGATCTTCATCATCGATGATGACTGAAGCAAGAGCTAACTGGTTCACAATCTCTTTGACTTTGAACAAATATGCTTCCATTGAATCTGTCTTCTTGGCAATAGTGTTTAATTTGTTCTTCAACTAATGGATGTGTGATCTGGAAAGTGTAGTAAAACGTTTGTGCAAAGCAAACCAGATATCAGATGAATGTTAACATTACAACACAGTTGAGTAGATTGAAGGAGATAGAGTTGCAAAAATACAACTTAAGAGGTGAGCATCAATAAGACTCCATTGAATTTGATCAAGATTGGAGACCTTTGTTCCAGTTGAATCTATGATCATAGTAGGTGGACATAAGATTGTGCCATCAACATATCCAAGCAGATCTGTAGCTTTGAGAATATTCTAAAGTTAGCTTTTCCAAACCACAAAGTTACTAGAATCAAGTTTCACAGTAATGAATGAAGAATGATGTGAGATTAACATTGTGAGATTAAATGGAATCGAAGAAGAAGAAAAAGATAGATTGGCCATAGATCTATGCTTGTAGGATTTGTGCTTGTAGAACTGAGATTTCAAGAAAGAATTCTTATTCAATGAATATACTTTTTCATATTACAATTATATATATCAGTTGGGAGTTTGTTATAACAAACTATTGATACACTAGTTACATACACACTAACCAACTCCTAAGCTAACTGACTTTGTAACCAACTGAGTTGATGTGGCTGCTGCTACAATATCTACTAAGAGGACTGGCTTAGCCATTAACTGAGCTTCTGAACTGAGTTTGGAAACTGAAGCTTCTGAGCTGAGTTTGGAAGCTATGGTATTCACAACTGTGGAAGTTGTAGTATTCTTAATAGAGCCCCTTGCACCTCTCACCAATTTAGTATTGCAACCCTTACCTTCCAAGCAAAATGATAATGTAACTAAACATGGCAAATTGATTCATTTTCAGCTTTACAGAAAACAGAAAGAGTTGATGCATTAGCTTGAATAACACCAATTTTCTGGAGAAAATCAACTACCTTGACTTAATTTTTCCAAGCTAACTAACAGAAAAATTGAACCATTAGAGGTGCAAATATATTCCACACTAACGTACTAGTTCTGAGGGAGGGACCAAGGGATACATATTCACTTCTATAGATAGAAGACACAGAGAATAGTTTGGAGCATGTAACAAACCAAGCTGGTCTACCATCTAGACCATCACACATACCAGGGCCAGACACTAAAAGCTCTTTGAGTCTAATTACTTCCCTTTTTTCCCACTCATAAAATTTTCTTCTAAAGTGAAAGTTCTAGTTCCCTGAAACAACCATCCTCTCATGCAACAATCTCAGGGATTCCTCATTTTCCATCACCAATCTATAAAGGATAGGAAATTCATCTTTCAAACAAAAATTGAAGCACCATTTGTCCTTCCAAAATTTAGTTCTTTCACCATCCCCTACCTTAACATGAAAAATATTAAGATAGAACACCATCAAGTTATTTCTTCTCTCAGTTATGGAAATGATTCCTTTCCACACACAAGAGTACCTACTGCTTGATCTAAAAGGGGGGCACTAATTTTTTACATCCAAATTGTATTTATTGCAAATGATCTTTCTCCACAAAGCATATTTCTCCTTGCCAAACCTTCACCACCATTTTAATAACATACAATCATTTACTAGCCTTATGCCTAACCCCCCTTGCTTTACACCCTATGTTAGTTCATCCCATTTAACTAGGTGAATTGATCTTCTTGTCTCAGACCCACCTCAAAGAAAAGCAGCCTGCAACTTTTCTAGTTCTTTTACTACCCCTTCTGGTATTCTAAATAGAGATAAATAGTACATTGGTAAGGCATAGGTTACAGACTTTAACAAAGTGAGCCTTCCTGCAAATGATAACAGTTTCCTTTTCTACCCTGCTAATCTGCTTTTGACTTTGTCAAGAACTGGCTTCCAAGTTGTCCTTTTATTTGGATTAGCCCCCAAAGGCAGCCCCAAATACTTCACAGGTAATGTCTTGGATTTGCAATTTAGCTTTGAGGCAAAAATGAAGAGAGACTCCTCAGGTACATCTACTCCACACACTTGACTTTTATGGTAATTTATTTTCATCCCAAAGATCAATTTGAAGCATCTTAAAACTTTATTAATATTACACACTTCCTCCTCCTTTGCTTCACAGAATAATATAGTATTATTTGCAAATTGTAGGTGAGATAACATCACACCACTAGCACCAATCTTCACCTATTTAATCAGGTCTATCTGTTGTTCTTTGGACATAAGAATATTAAGGCCCTCAACTGCTAAGTTGAACAAAAGATGGGACAAATGATCACCTTGTCTAAGACCCTTTGTGGGCAAAACTCCTCAATTGGTGAACCATTAACCAACATTGAGAGTTTTGCAGTGGTAACACATTCTTTTATCCAACTAATCCATTTTACTCCAAACATAAAATTCGAAAGTATAGATGATAAGAAGCACCAATTCACAGAATCAAAAGCCTTTTCAAAATCAAGCTTGATAATCACTCCCTTATTCTTAGCTTTTCTCCATCCATCCACAACCTCATTAGCAATAAGCACACCATCTAGTTTGTTTTTTCCTCCTAAGAAAGTTGATTGAGTGTCACTGATGATGTGGGGAAGCACTTGTGAAAACCGCCTCCTTAATTAAGTTAATTATGTGATTAATGTTGATCATGTGTTTATGTGCTAATTGTGAATTATGTGCCATGTATTATATGCATCGTATTGATTTGTGCCATGTGTTATTGTGAACAGATACATATAGGTATGAATTGAACCTATCTGATTTGTTACTTTTAACAAGTTTGAATTAAGAAATTGGATAGGAATTAGAGCCTTATTCACCTTAGGATAATTTAATTTAGTGTAATTAAGATTATGAGATTAATTTAATTTGAGTTAATTGAATACAATTTAAAATATAAAATGAATTATTATTAAATTAGAGTTTTTCTATTCAACTAACTACTAGGAAACAAAAGGGAGTAGTGGACTTTGGTGAAGTCTAATGTGATTCACGTAGAGAGAGAGAGAGAGAGAGAGAGAGAGAGGGTTCTTGAGAGTTGAGTCCAAGAGTTCAAGAGTTCAAGAAGAAAGATAGGAGCTTGAGCTTTTTTTCAACAAATCACCAAATTAAGGTAAATTTCATCTCAAAATTCATGAAATTGAAATGATACACTGCTAATTCCTTAGCATCTAAGTTCACATAGGATGGATTTTTGAGTAATTAAGAATCGTTGGAGAAGAAATTAAGTTGAGAATCCATGTATGCTCATAAGTGGAGAATTGAAGGAGATGGTGTAATATATTCACATGCATGGCATAATTCTTGAACAATCATGATCATACATTCAATTTCTTACATCTAATTTTCAATTTGAAGAGAAACTCCATGGGAGTTGAGAGTTTTGGCTCAAAAGTTGCAAATTTCATGATTTCATATTTTAACATTTGAAGTGAAATTGAAGTTAAGAATATACGATCATATAAATGAACGATTGGATGAGTTGATTCTGGAACCTTAACATGCATGGCATGATTTGCAAGGAATTGTTTTCACACACTTAAATTCATGTATGGTTATCCAAATGTGAAGGAAATTCTATGAATTTTCAAGAGTAGAGCTCATACTTGTATGTTCATTACAATTACATATTAGATTGGAAGTTTACTTTCTTCATGATAATTCTTTAGTCATGGTTATTGTGTTAATGGTATAAGGGTTAATCCTCCATGAAAGTATGAGTTTTTGGCTTAAAATGCATGGAATTGAAATGAGAATATGCACTAGTTGAGGTTCCAAAACATGGCAGATTTTGGGACTTCCAAACACCCAGCGCTGCACGTGTGGAAAACAGGGCAGATTTGAGGAGTAGTCTGCTTAAATTGTAGGTGCGGGAGGCACGTGTGGAGATGGTCCCGCACATGCGGCAAGGACCCCTGCGCACGCAGCAGTTAGGTTGGTTCCGATTTTGTTTTTGCTCCTCTTTGCTACTTTCCAGGCCTCCGTTTGCACGGTTTTAAAGTGTTTTCATGTACATTTACATCTCATGAACACCAACGAATAAAGAATGAAAGTTAGAACTGAACGATTGAACAACAAATAGAAACCGATCAAGTAAACATTGAACTGAATAGAACCGAATGAATGTATGAATTGTGTATTGAGTAGTTGTGCTTGAAATTGTTTGTTTAGGTCGGACACCGCTCCTTTAGTGCCTTTTAGCACGTGTTTCAAAGAGTCACTGTGAGTAACAATATTGTAAAGCTATGTTCAATTATAATTAATTTCTGAATGATTAATTGTATTGCTTTCTAAAATAATATTGTTTATTGAATGAATGTTGTCCTATTTTATAAACTATATTCGTGGCATCCATAGCAACTAACTGTTACTGCTACTGCTACTGTTACAGAGATCTCTGTCAATTCTAATCTTTGGAACTAATGTTACTGTATTGATGGCCATCAACTGATTGTTCAGTCTTTAAGACCTACTGTACTGTTCTGCTATGGGATGTACCACGTATGACAGTAATAATTTCATATGACACTGAAATGTATGAATACTATTTATTGAACTGATTTGTTACTGAAATTGACTGTTTCAATTGTTATAAGGACATCATTCATAAACCTTTTACGTATTTGCTATTCACTGTGTTTTAGCTCACAGTTTATTATATATATGTAGGTGGCCAGGTACTGGAGCAAAGTTAGCGGCGTTAACCTGAATCTGTTTTGTCAAGCCAACCTAATGTGCCTCACCACAAGGTTCTGAATTGTTAATGTCAAGGCTGTTTGGGTGCTTTAAATCCACCCATTTTGGAATGTTATTTGGAGTCAAGAGAATGTTTTATAATTTGTTTTCGCTTTGAGATTTAATTCCCTAACATGTCTTTTGTTTGTACTTGGATGTGTTTGGACTTAAGCTTTTATACATATGTTTGGTTATGGTCTTGGACTTATGTGTGTATCGGTAAATATATATAAAAGTTGTTGTTCATTCAGGTCCTCACAGCTCATTGAACGTTGTATATAATTATTGATTGGCTTCCTCCGGCCCCTTTATATTGTATTATTGTCATTATTGTTAAACAGGCCTTCGGTAATCACATATTACTAGCCGGTTACGACGTTAAATCCATAGGGGCGGGTTTGGGTTGTGACAACACTACTTTTAGTTTACTAGACAATACTTTTACTAGACAATACTTTTGCTAATACTTTATACTTTTGGTCTATAGTCCCCAAGCCCCACTGGATTTTCAATCTTTGGTATTAGTGAAATAAAGGAGCTATTAATTCCCATAACCAACCTGCCATTCCTATGAAACTCCTTGAAAAACTTCAGTAAATCACCTTTTATCATTTTCCAGAATTTTTGAAAATAGGCCATGTTAAACCGTCTGGCCCTAGAGCCTTGTTTCCATCACAATCACTCATTGCAGTCCTGATTTCTTCCTCAGAGAATTCTGCTTCCAACCTTTCAAAGCCAGGACAATCATGGACTTATTTAAACTAACCACCTAACTTAGGTCTTACTCTTTATTCCTCGGTAAACTAATTTTTAAAATGATCATAGACCTCTTTTCTAACTTTAGCAGGTTCTTCATACACAACAGTCCCAACAGTTATAGAAGAAATCTCATTTCTACTTTGTCTGTCCTTGGCCATCACATGGAAAAATCTGGTATTTCTATCACCTTTCAAATTCCAATTGAGTCTTGATTTTTGCAACCACAACCACTCAACCATTCTCTCAAACTCCATACCTGATCTTTGACTACTCCTCTTCTAGCTTTTTTAGTCTCATCTAGATCTCTAGATTCAGGAGATAAATCCAGATGATGAAATTCCTTTTCTGCTTCCTTCAACGTCACATTAACACTCCCAAAGACCTTTTTGTGCCATCTCTTTAATTCTAACTTCAATATTTTCAGTTTCTTCAATATGACATAACTAGCCCATCCTTCAACTTATGTCATCTTCCAGGTCTTCTCCACAAAAGTTGGAGAGCTTGGGTGTAAATCCCAAGCATTAATGATTCTAAAGGATTTAGGACCCCAGTCTCTTTCATCTTCCATTAGTAGCAGAGGAAATAATCAGAGATGAGCCTTGATAGACCCCCATAACTTTAAGTTGAACACCTCCATCCATTTTGGATCCACTAATGCCGTTTCTATTCTACTCCACTTTTCCCCTGCTATTGAATTGCACCAGGTATATTTTCTGCCACGTAATGATAAATCATTTACTTCACATTTCTCAATAAAATCATTAAGCTCTCTCATTTAGATATATAAGATATAAAAAAACTAACACCTTGGTTAATTTAGTAATATAACATGATATCATTTCTTTTTCTTTTTTTCTTTTCTTTTATATAGTTTAACCAAATAAAATATGAGAGAAATCAATATATTTTCTTTTATTTTTTCACCTATTTACCCAAACAAAAGGAAAATAAATCATAATCTTTTCTTTTCTCTCCTAGGTTACCAAAGTGTAGACCGTAGATCAATAACAAATAATTTTAATTATAAAAAACTTTGTGCAACTTCATTTTCGAAATTATTCAAGTATTTAAATTGAAGAAAGTAGATGTGAGTGTGTAGTAATAGAATTAGTTTTAAACGATCATCTCAAGAATTTTTATTTGAAAGATGATGATACAATGCTTGATTTTTGAGTAAATTGTGAGTAAAATTTTGTGAGTGTGTTGTGAATGGAAGTGGGTTTCTAGAAATTGAAGTTCCAAATCTAACTTAACCTGGCTCAATTCAGTTTAGTTCCACGGATTTTGTAGTTAAATTTAGTTTAAAATTTTGTAAAACCATGAATAATAGTTAGATCTTTAATTTTTTCCCAGGCCAAATTAAACCGAACTATGCTGAACGCTGCTAGCTTGCCCAACAGATTGTATGGAAACTACTTTTATGGATTGGGTTATTGGGTTTGATTATGTAAGGGTGTGTGATCTGTTTGGTGTGTGATCTGTCTGCTGTGTGTTTTGTGGTCGTTTGGGATTGGGTTATTGGGTTTGATTGTGGCTACTGTGATCTGTTTGTTTGCGATATTTGGATTCAGTGTTTCTTATGGGTTTTTCCCTTGCGGGGTTTGGTCTCTCACCAATCCTTTGTGATTGAGCTTGCAGATGATTGGACTCTCTTCTCAGTGCTAACCTAGTTGGGATTGTTAGTTTGCTATGATACTTTCTGCTCTTCTACTCTTTTATTTGATGTAATCTCATTTGATATATGGTTTTATCATCAATAAAGGTTCCTTTTTTACTGATTAAAAAAAAAAAAAAAAACACATTTTGTGGAAGGGTTTGTTTCAACCCTGAATTGAGGATTGAGCGAGGTTGGGGGCTATGTCATTCCATTTAAAATCAAATGGATGCATTGGATTATGTCAATAAATTTGAGTTTTTACAACTGCTCCAAAGTATATCAATTGTTCCAAATAACTAATCCTAATGAGTAAGGATTTAAATAAGAGTATTGAGAGATAAATCGATATTAGTTGTGGTGTAGTGATATTTTGAAGTATTGAGCGATATATATAAAAAATTAACTGATGTAATTGTGAATTTTTAAAAGACACTAGTTGCTAAAAAGAGTTATGCAACTGTTTCACTTGTGAACCAATATTGATATGTATTGAGAATTGGTTGATTCGCATGTGATTTTTTTCCACCTATTTATTGCGATGTATGAACATCAAAAGAGCCAAAATTCAATATGTGTCGACCAATACAAAACATTTTGACTCATATTTAAAACCATGCTAATGAGCAAATTCATTGTATGACCGAGATAAAGTTGTATATATCAATATTCATTTGAATAATTGTATAGTATTGAAATTTCATGATTATTTGTTATACTTGTGAGTAAACTTCTTTTTCTTTTTCTTTTTTTAGTAATTTTGTTAGTTTGTATAATATTTATTTTGTGGATGAGTATTCTAAAAACATTAATTAGCGAAAACATTACAAATTTTACATTCCTCGACCAATCTATTTTATAAGAGAATGTAAATTTGTTTTAAGCATGCTAACAATTGGAAATTTTTACAATACACTCTTTTTGGGGTATATCATATGTCCAATTATAATTTTTGTGATTTTCGGTTATGAGTTATGAGTTAAGTGGTAGATCTTATGAGTCATTGTGGTCATGGGGCTTAATTATTTATTTATTAATAGCCCATTATGGAGTTAGTAATGACGTATTGTAATTGATGTTTTGAATATGATGGTCTTTGGCTATGTCTCTAACATTATTTAATTATGGTGGATTGTGATACTTTGGTTATGAGATGAAGTGATTTGGTTATGAGATAAAGTGGTATTAAAAAAATAAAATGTCATATAATACATTCTATAAAAAAATGTAATATAAAATTTTTCTATAGTTTTTATGGTTTCTAAATTTTAGAGTATTTTTTATTAAAAAATAATGATTTTTCAATGGCTTTAATGTGAAATTAAAGTGAAATCTAACTGCCGACTAAGGTGGGTTTGAGCTAGTCTACATTCACTCTAGGGATATTTTCACCGCAAAAAAAAAAATATCAAAAAATTATTAAGAATATATGATATGAGATATCTATATAATAAGGGAAGAGAGTTTTTGAATTTGTCCTAGAGACAATTGTTCTACTAGGACATTTTAATGGTCAGGATTCATTTTAATGGACGGCTGAGATGACCTTAACTTTCATTTGTCACCCACGTTCTCTCTTTGCCAACCCAAGACAAAGGCTTATAAACCACAGTTTCATCTCATCATCATCAGGCATTAGCAGCCCCATTCACTACCCCACGAAGCAACGCAACCTTCGGCAACGTTGCATGAGAGAGCAAACATCGCATGTTTGTTCTCTCTCTCTTCAAACTTCTCAGGTCTCAAACTCTCTCTCCTCAGAGATCTCTCTCTCTCTTTCTCTCGCTCCCCCTCTCCCTCTGCTACCACCGACAGAGACTCTCCATAGCCGCGCCGCTTTACGTCGCCTCCATCACTGCGTCACCTCCGATCTCCACCGACAGCACCTCTTCATCTCTTCTCCCGCCACAGCGTCTCCTTCCTCCACCGTCAAAATAATCAATTGGTTTTGAAATGGGTTTGGACTTGTGTGTGTTTGGATTTGTTAAAATAATCAATTGGTTTTGAATTGGACATGGGCGGTTTGGATCTGTACTACTTTTTTCCCTATGGGCAGCACTGTTGTGAAAGGTAATTTCAATGAATAAAGCTTATTTTTTCCTCCTCAATGAATTGGATTGGACATGTGGATTGATTTTTAAAATTTAATTTCTTTGGTTATTTTGTGGATTGATTTTTATTTTGCTGTTTGAGATGTGGATTGATTTTTAAATTTTTAATTTTTTTGGTTATTTGATGGATTGATTTTTATTTTGTTGTTTGGGATGTGGATTGATTTTTAAAAATTAATTTTTTTTGGTTATTTTATGGATTGATTTTTATTTTGCTGCTTGGAATGTGGATTGATTTTTAAATTTTTAAGTTCTTTGCTTATTTTGGTCTGGGCTAAAAGCCTCCTTTTGTACCCCCACAGGGCATGGATGTTTGAGAATTTAAATTTTGGGGGATGTTTGGGTTTGTGTTCAAGGTTTGAATCTTTACTTCTTTTTTCCCTATGGACAGCACTGTTGTGAAAGGTAATTTCAATGAATAAAGCTTATTTTTTCCTCCTCAATGAATTGGATTGGTAATCATATGCCTTAAAGGTTTACATCTTTCCAAGTCAATGCTTGGGTACATCAAAAGTGAGTCTTAAGCTCAATAAAGATAAAGCCCTAGGCTTGTACAAAATTAACTACAAAAATACAATACTGAGCCTTTAGCTCCACAGTCCTACCAAGCTAAGTCCTTGGTGGAGGCATATCACCAGCACCTGAAAATGTTTTTCCCATATAGGGTGAGCTGAAACCCAGTAGAAATGCTACAACACAATATATAAATATTAACAAA